GATTGGGCCAACGTTTAACCTCGCTCGGCTACAGCTGCAGCGACAATCAATTGAGCACGAGGGCTGCCGCTGATTGGCGCACAGCTCGACGGCCAATGGCCAATGGCTGTCAAACTGTGCTCGCGCTCAATGCAAATGAGGCAGCCAAATGTGCGCAAATGTTACGAGAAATTCAACAACAACAACAACAACAACAAAAGGCATACAAAAAACAAACAACAATAAAGACAAGCAAACAATAAGCAACATTTTACAAACATTTTAAACGGAATCACAGCAGCTACCCCCTCGCTCTGTCCATGTCCATATGCTATTCATACATTTCTGTCAGTTTTCATATCGCATTTTCTCACAAAAAAAAAAAAAAAAAACAGAATTGAAATGAAAATCCAAAAAAAAAAAAAAGAAAAACTTGCACTCGCATATGGCACCGCTTAAGTGCGGAGCGATGGGAAACATTTTGCTGCTGCTGCTGCTGCTGCTTCTTCTTCTTCTTCACAGGAAATTGATTATTATTTATGATTACAACAGCAGGCGGGTGGGGGGGGGCGAGTGCGCTTTGCATACGTGAGAAAACCAAATCTGCGCCAACAACAACAATAGCAAGATTCTCTCTGACCCTGAACCCTAGAGATAATGCAACATACGTTCGACATGGAAAATAAAAACCCTTGAAGAGTAGCGAGAGAGGGAGGGGGGAAGGGGAGAGAGAGGAAGACGCCGTCTGGCAGCTACAAAGAACCGTTCTTAAGTGGGCGTGCGCCCTCTTCAATAATTAGATACACTTTTCTTTTTATTCTTCTTTCAAGTGTTTTTTCCCATCTTTTGCTCAATCATATTTTTTTTGTTTTTTTTTTCGTGTCCATATCAATTTTTGTTCCAGCTAAACGTTTGAGGACTTGCATATGGGAAATCTGCTCCCTCTCTCTCTCGCTCTCTCGCTCTCTCGCTCTCCCTCTCTCTCTGTGTGTCTTTTTTGAGTGCATCCGCCAGCAGATATCCTTATGAAATTTGATACTTTTGTATTGTTTTAGGCAGCCTCGAACCTGAGCCTGTGACGTGGGCGTCCACGTCCACGTCCCTTACCCTTACCTGCCACCTCAAGAGTCAGCCGTCGAGTCACATGTCTGGATTTTGTTGTTGCTGTTGTTGTTCCCTTTGTAAGTACCGTTTTGCTCCTTTGAGCGGCGGCTGGCCATGTCGCGTGATTCGATCCTGGCTGCACAGCCACTTAGCATATTCCTAAGTCCTGGCCATGTCGAGCACTTTTTCACTGGAAGTGCATCGGTCAGCACTTAACGGCACTTGCTCGAATATCGTTATTCGTGTCTGTCATACCCTGTACTGCGCGTGCATAGGGACTACACACTTGCCATATGAAATTGTCATTTTCAGATGCTTCACCTAAAGACTTTGCCTTGATTTCTGGCATGCAAATGCAGTTAAATACACGTAAATACTTAATTTTAGTATTTGCTCTTGTGTTTTTTTTTCTAAATACACAATTCTATAGCCCATTCAAGCCTTGGACATTGCTTATCAATCGAATAATGAGCGGCGAAGAGGGTAGAGGGTATTTGACAGTCGTGCAGTCAAATCGTCAAGTGCACCTGGACTTGTTTTTCCTTGGGTCTTAAGTGAAATGCATGCGTCAGCTAACAGCTCCTGAGTCTACAATTTCAATTTTCAGCGATTTCTTGGTAAAACGCATTATCAAATTCGTGTTTTGTATTTTTGTGAAATGCATGTGTAATTGTGTGTGTACCCCCTGTCTGTGTCTGTTATCAATGCGCCTGATAAGAGGCACGTTGAGACTCTAGTTCTTTTTAAATGGATATGCTATAGCTATATACAAATATATATAGCAGGCTGATTCATGCGTAGCCTTTGTCTGCGATATCACGTCAACTTTCCATTTAGTTCTAGTGCTCGACGCACTTTGGCTTTTGGGATCGGTGTGCTATATGCGTTTAATTAGTTTTCTGCACGTTTCAACGGATTTACTAATCAAAAGTTGCACTTTTATAGCTTATTATTGTGTAGATTATCATATTGCATGAAATACATCAAACACACAATTGGATTCGACCTTTAACTACTGTGTTTAAGTCATAAATTAGTTAGACTTGCACCTTATCCAAGGGAATCTGTCCGAGAGCATGTCCCAATGTTTGTTGTTCCTTAATCCATATCATTTCTAGAAAGTTCCAAAGCTAAATTCTATCTATCTACCTTTACGAGATGCAATCCTTATCCTAAATCCAATCAATGTCTAGGCAGTGACAAGGTAGAAACTACGATTAAAAAACTGTTTGACTAACATTTTGGTATTACATATAAAGTGAACATGGAGCTGCTTTGGGCCAGGGCAGCCCAACTGAGCCAGTTCGAATCCTAAATATCTATTTGTTAACCAAAACACATTTGACCAAGGCTTTGTTCCAAAGTTTAAATGACTTTGGCCCCAAACCTAGCCAAGTTTTGGGTAGTGTTCAAATCTAGCCCGCATTTTATATATGAAATTAGACACGACTTGCAATATTTTCAAGTACAACGGGCAGTTAAGAATTAAGCATTGAATTGTGTACTTAAAATTTCGAAAGACTTAAAGCAAATTGGGTTATAGATGTAAAGCTGCAAGCCAGATTAACACTAAGAAAGGTCTAAGTTAAATGCTAAATATATGAAAAAATAACTAAAAATAATAAAATAAGAATAAATAATAAGAACGTGAAGGATATACAACTAAATAACTCACTCGAACACCCTATACAGTTGACCTTTAATTTATGTAAATATGTTAATGTTAATTTTATGTTAATGTTAATGCACGCCAATTAGATGATCCCAAGCAATCAGGATTGTAGCATGATTGTAGTATGAAAAAACAACTGCGCCTTGTTTTGGCCATATCACAACTGCAAAAGAGCCAAAAACTGAGCGTAACTTATAATTTATAAGCTGGTTTCCTTGTTGCCGTTTCTTATAGGTCTTAAGTATGTGCAACGCGTGTGTGTGTCTGTGCAAAACACCTGCAAGTTGTGGCAGCAACAACAACAACAACAACAACAACAGCAACAACAAGCGTCCAAGTACTTCTACTTTTTTGCATGAAATAAAATCTCACGGTTCAGATGCGTATAAAGTTGGCAAAGACAAAGAGCGAGGCGAGACGAGACGAGACGAGGCGAGCAGTTGTTCGAGCCGGGGGGCAGGTGGTAGGAAGTCTGAACAACAACAGAAAAAAGATACGATACCAAGTGGCGCAGGCGCAGAAGGCAGCCAAAGACCGAAAGGGATGGCAACAGAGTGCGAGCGAGAGAGGCAGCTGCGACGATGCATGTGGGTTTGTTTTTGCAAGAAAGACATTAAAAACATGTAAGAGGCTCGCATCGAGGATACGCGACCAGCAGATACCCTGTACTGCTGCTTTAACTTAGCAACATATTATGAGACCATATTACTTCAAGAATTTCTATGATTATTAAACTTCAGAACTTAGAGATGCTATTTAGCATAAATTTGAAGAATATTTATCGATATATTCAAGAGGAATTATCGATGATAAAATAAAATGTATCAAGAACTTCTTCTATCTATATAAAGTCCCCCAATCGTCTATTTATGCTGACCAAGAGATGCCCTCCTCTGTCCATTACATTGGAACAATTGCAATATACCCTTTGAATACCCTTTACAGGGTATAAACAGCACAAGTAGGTAAAGAGCCAGAGCCGGAGTCAGAGCCAAAACAGGTTATGTGGCTCATATTTTGCACAATTGCGGGTGTACAGAGGGGGGCAAAGGGGCATCGGGAGGCATTGGAGCTGCCCTTTGCGTAGCCAAAAAAAAAAGACGAAGAATCATGCAAATGGCATAGAAACATTTTTGGCACAGCGCTTGCCATTTGCGCCTTCAAATATGGTCCTGATCTTAACGAGCCAACGTCAAAAGAAAATAAGAGCAGAGAGAGGGGGAAAGAGAGCGGAAGAGAGGGAGAGAGAGAGAGAGAGAGAGAAAGATGAAGCGAGCAATCTGTTGCCGTATCTGTACTTCATTCATATTTACCCGAGCCGAGATACAGAACGAACTGACAGGCGGACGGACGGACAGGCGAGAGATGCTTAATGGGCCAACTAGCTGCTACCTGGGGCACAGGTAAATGCTGAGGTAAAAGCAAATCCAAACACACACACACACACACAACAGGTAGAAAACAGTTCTTTTCTGCTCCTTGTTTGCCTTTGCCATGGGAAATCTGTCGCTGCTGGAAACCTGTTCACAAAAGGGCAACTGAATGAACAGATGTACAATTCATATGGAGATACTTCCTCCTCCAATCCAATGAATTGAATCTCTTTTATCAAAAACTGATGCCTGTTCCACTGTCTCAACTGTCTTTGGGTGCCCAGCGTAATCTCAGTTGGCATTTATTAGCTGTAGCCTGCATTGCGGGCGTTTATGGCGTAAAATACCCTGTAGAAACCCCATTGAACTCGGCTGGTATGAGCATGGACTTTACCAAAATTGATATATATGATATCATAGTAAATTAACTTAAATAAATGTCTTAAAATAAATTAAAATTAGCGCTAGGCTTAATTTTGTATATACATATACATAATTGAAGCTCTATCTTTCTATGGAACTCGGGAAATATTGGCCCTAGACATACCAAATTTGGGATTTAAACTCGCTTAAAGCTTCCTCAGCTATATCCTAAGGCTGACTGCAATCGCTTGATAAATACAACAGTTCCCTGAGGTAGGAATTTAATAAAGCCGCGCAGCTGGAAGCTCGATAAAAAGCGATATCAAACATAATGTTATTAGGCAAATTAAAAGACTTTTGAACAGATAAATTGATAAGCAGGGTATTTGCCAGCAAGTATGTTTAACTGTTTTTAATCTTTGCAGTTTACGTGCTGATTGTTAATTATTTCGTGACTCTCTGTGCGCCTGAGTTGGCACAGTTATTGCTGATAATGTGAAATCGCTTACCTTTCGTATCTCCGTGGTCAACATAGCCGGCATTGGCCGTTGCCGAGGCGGCTGCCAAGTGGCTGGCGCAGATCAGCAGAAGGCCCGCTCCGATGTAGATAATGCCGGATATAGACATGTTGCTGCTGCTCCGGATCGGGTGAAGGGGTGGGTACGTATCCAACACGCGTTTGTTTATTTATTTAAAATCATAAATCGCATAAATATGAGAACGTGATGGATTCGATGGGCTGCGATTCGATTGTTTTGCACAATCAAACGATTTGTTTATTTTCCAAGTTTTTCTAAACCCGCAACTCCCCGCACAATATTTTGTAGAGAGAGCGAGAGAGAGAGAGAGAAGAGTGGGGTCTATTCAAGCGTATCCAAACTCCATCTCGAAAGCCGAGCTTTGGCCAAAGCTCGCGATGCAAATGTGTTGCGATGCAATCCGAGAAATTTCGGTTTGATTATTTTGCAAATTATATATGTTTCAGCAGAAAAGCTGTTTGTGTTGAAACAACAAAAATAAATAAGCGTTGCGACCAATTCACGGAATATTATAATAAGTAATACAATATACAATAGCAATAAAAAGCGGCGATCGCGTCGAACCTCGGCGTTAACGGGGCCGACAGCGAGACGGCTGAAACGAATGGTGAACACGATCCAGAGAGAGAGAGAGAGAGAGCGCGCGCGCGCGGTTGTGAACTTTTTACTGTTAACAGGAGAAAGAACCGCCTTTAATCGCCGCGGCTCTACTTTGTAATGATAGTTAAGCAGCCACAGAATTATTCGTATTCGTATACTTTATTAGACTTCGTTTAACACACAAAACTCTGTTTTATTATTTTTGCGAATATGAATTTTTGTTAACGTACTCCGTGCACCGAAACCGACGTAGCGTCAGCGCCAAACGACCGTCAATAATAAGATTCAGTTGAAGACTGTGTGACCGTTCACGCGCAACTCCAGAAATGCCACAAGTGCCTGATCGATAACAGCGTGAGCGTGAGTATCGAATTAACATGGCGCAATTGATTTGCACATTTGAATTTAAGCAGCTATAAGAGTCACTTCTTTCAAAGAGCTAGCACGCTAGACGGCATATTATTTAACGAAGTTTATATGCAGAGCATTGAGCAATTAATTGCATTAAAAAACAGCCAACTATTGAATTGACAGCATTCAATCATAGCAAGTATGTAAATGCTGCTTGCTGTTCATAACATTTCAGCAACTGTTAACTGCTTGCCACTGTTATGCACGCCGTTCACACTAGTTCGCACTGGTTCCAAACATTGAACAGCTGAGCGAACTAAGAGATTTGACTTTTGCCAAAAAGCGCTAGAAACAGAAATATAAACAAAAAGCTAAGTTTATTAAAATGACAACATTCGATAGCAATGGCTGGAATGTGGATGAAACAGTTACGCTAATTGGCATTATAAAGTCCCTCAAAGAAGTCAACGGGCCGGGCAAACTGGACTGGCAGCATGTGGCCAACCAACTGGTCGAAAGCAAGACAACACCCAACGGACTCAGCAGAAGCATTCTGGAATTGCGCGACAGATTCAAGAAATTGCGAAATGATTACTTTACGGCACGCTATCGAAATCGTTCCTGTCAGTACTATAACTATCTGAACGATCTGCTCAGCGACGAGCTGTCGCCGCGCAAGCAGCGGGCCGAAACGGAGGAGGATGAGCCGGAGGAGCAGGAGCTGGAGCTGGACCCGGCCGAGGACATTAAAGTGGAGCACAAATATGCGCACACCTTGCAGCTGGAGTGTAGGCTATACTGATCATATATCTTACCTGGTCTTATAACCCATTTGCTTTTTGTTTCATCAGGCAACGGCGACACCACAAATCCGGGCTGCGCGGTTAAGGTGCCGCTGCGCTGCAAGTGGGTGGAGGGCGAGGTGGAGGCATTTCTGAACATCATCATCAAACACAAGCTGCAGGCGCCGCTGCTGCGCAAACGCAATGCCAAGGTGTTCAAGCTGCTCGCCCGGGAAATGGCCAAGCGTGGATTTGTCAAGCGGCCGGATCAGCTGCGCGTCAAGTACCACCAGCTGCGCCGACAATATGCAAAGGCCAAGAACGGCGGCGAGACGTTCGAGCATTTCGAGGATATGCACGCCCTGCTCAATGGCTCCGTGCAGCATGGCGAGAGCAGCGCCGGCGAGGGCGAGAGCGATTCAAATGACAGCGGCGAGGAGGATGTGGATGCTGCCAACGGCTCGGAGAGCGAATCGGAAGGTTCATTAAGCCGTCAGTCAAGCAAACTGCCAAGCTTTTATTTATGCTTTAATTCCTTGCAGGCGCCTTGGTGAGTGCCGCAATTCCCTCGAATGCGCGCGTCAAGTGGGCAGAGGGCGAGGTGGACGTATTCCTGGACATTATCACCAGCATGGGACTGCAGTCGGCGCTGTTGCGCAAACGCAATGCCAAGATCTTCAAGCTGCTCTCCAAGGAGATGGCCAAAAGATCGTTTGACAAAGCGCCCGAAAAGCTGCGCATCAAGTTCCAGCATCTCAGGCGGCAATACAACAAGGCCAAGAACGGCACCGGCGAAAGTTTCGAGCACTTTGAGGCCATGCACCAGCTGCTGAATCCCGCCAAGAAATCGAGCGCCGACACTGAACCGAATTACAGCAGCGGCTCCGAGAGCGATTACATTTACAGCGACGACATCGACGCGGAGACAACCCGACCCAATCGTAGGTGCACGGCATTCGCCAAGTTAAGATACTTTAATTGATCGGTCCGTTTTGCAGGCCATCCCGATACCTATTACTGGACGGATCATGAGGTGGATGCCTTTCTGGCCATCATCAAGCAACAGAATCTGTTTCGCGCCCTGGACGGCTCGAAGAAGCGCAACTTCAAGACCCTGGCCTACATCTCGAACATCCTGGCCAAGCAATCGTATCAGAGAACGCCGCATCAGTTGCGCAACAAGTTGCGCCTGCTGCTGCGTCGCTATCGCGAGGTGAAAAAGGATGGCATCAAAAATGTGCGCATGCTGCCGCGTCACTTCGAGATGTTCGACGATCTCATGCAGAAGAAGCGCACCACCAAGACCCAGGCAACTGGCAGTGTGACAGCAGCAAGTACAAATCAGGCTGGCACAAAGTCAGCGGCACTGGAGAGCGACAGCGATGCGAGCAGCTCCGGTTCCAGTTGCGATCTGTTGCGTGCCGCAGCCGAAAGCGAGGAGTACGAGGATACATTCGAGTTGCCGCCGGAGCCAACGCCGCTCGAGGTGCTGACCAACATAAGCGAGGGCCAAAAGCAGCTGCTGTCCACGCTGACCGAATCCCATGAGCGTTTCCTGCGGCAGCAGCGGGAAATGCAGACACAGTTCCTCCACGAAATGTCCAACATAATGCGGCAGGAGCGCGAGGCGACATTCCAAATGCTGAGAGAGTTGATCCAACCCAAGTGACTGAATAGTTAAATTAACTATATAATCCCATAAGTAGAATAAACACAGGCACAAACTTGTTTTAAGCTTCTAAAACTTTTATTAAATTGAATTTGAAGTTATTTGCAAAAAGTTCATTATTTATCTGTGTGGATCTCTTGTGTATTTAGTTGTTGTTTTTTTTTTTTTTTTTTTTTTTTTACCTAAGTTGCCTTTGTTGTTTGTTTTTGTTTTGTTTAATGCAATTCAGTATGAATTTCAATTATTTAGTTTTTTTAATAACTATTTAAGTTTATGTAATTTTGAGAGCTTCGTTTTTGATATGCTACATTGTTTTTTTGTTTTTTATTTATTTATTTTTTGCTCCTGGGATTAAGTTAATGTTGTATTTAATTTGTTTCAGTGTCCTTTTAACATTAAGCTTGTAATTATAATTTATTTATAATTATTTGTGTTTTGTTTTTAATTATTCTCACAACAACTAAGCAAGCTCTTCATAAAAAATACACGTACTTTTTTTTTATTGCATAATGTCTAGAATAGAAATCAAATCTCGCGTAATATTTATGCATATATTTTGTTGCTGTTGTTGTTGTTGTTGTTAATTCAATTGTTTAACTAAAAACCGACAACATATAATTTAATATAATGTATCTATGTGTATTTGCATATTTAACGCTCAGGCACAAAGTGTAAATTACAAATATTTCAATATTACTCGGCAATATATTGTTATTTTCCCTTTTGTTTTTCTTTTTTTTTGTTTCGTTTTGGTTTTGTTTTTTTTTTTGTGATTTTAATTAAAACAGAAACTAGACAAATTCGAACGGCATTTAATTCATTTGTATGTTGTTTGAGTAACATAAGTAGATAAATATCTTGTATAGGTAGCGGTGTCTTCGTTTTATCTCAATTGTTTTTTTTTGTTTTTATTTTGTGATTTTTCAATTTAATCTCTTGGAGCGCGGCTCGGCTTAAATCTACATTCAGGCGGCACTTGGCTGCTCTGGTCACACTGTCACAGTTGCTGGCGGCTAAAGCTTTGCTTGAGTTGGCGTCTGAGGCTGCTGCGCGGCTGCTGCGCGATTGCTGCTGCTGATACTGTTGATACTGCGTTTAGGTGTGTGTTTGTTTTGGTATATTTATACGTAGTTTATAACAACAATAACAGTGTGTATGTGTGTGTGTGTGTGTGTTTGTGTCTCGTCTCTTGCTCTCTTTGTTTGTGTGTGTGTGTGTGTGTGTGTGCTTGAGTATAAGAGTAGTTTTTAACAATCTAAGAGCTAATCGGCTCGGGCAGTGGATTCTCAGTGATGCGTATCTTGTTGCTTTGTGTGCCAAAGTAGAGCGTACCGGATGTATCAGTGGTCACATATGCCCGATTGCCATTCCCGTTGCCATTCTCCACATCCAGATCCTCTTCGCTATTCGGGTCATTTGCATTGTTGTTGCTGCTGCTGCTGCTGCTCATGCTGCTGCCACTGCAGTTGATGGCCGTCTCTCGCAGTCGATTGCCGACGCGCAAGCTTAGCTGCAGCTGGCGCTCTCGCTCTCTTTCCTGGGCGGCCTGCAATTGTTGCTCACGGAAGTTGGCAAAGAATATCGATGAATAGGTGTGATATTTGGTGCCGCAGGGAGAACTAGCCGGCGTTGACAGCGGCGTTGCTGTTGTAGTTGCAGTGTTGTAGTTGTAGTTGTAGTTGTAGTTGTTGTTGTATATATATTTTTTGTGGAGGGGGGGAAGGTAGTAGTAGTTTGGCTTTTGTTATTTACGTTACGTTACTTTTGGGCATGTTAATTGTAGTTGTAGTTATTGTTGTTGTTGTTTTTTTTATGGGTGTTCTTTTTACACGTTCTAAGGATTTGCTGCTGTTTTCATGTTTTCGTTTGTAGCGTGTAATATGTGTGCGTGTGCGCGTGTGTGTGTGTGTGTATTTGTGTGGGTGCATTGATGATGTTGCTTGGCCATTGTTTATCACTGGATGTTGCTGCGATTTGTTGCTGTTGTTGTTGTTGTTGTTGTTCTTGTTGTACTAGCTGCTGATGAGCTTTTTGATGATGATGTTGGCGAGGCGTTTATGAGAGATGTTGATGATGAGAGCGAGACAGAGAGCGCGCTGCATGCACTTAACTGATTGGTGAGAGTAGGGCGCCACCTGCTGTCAGCTGCTGTGAAGAGACAGAGACTCGAAAAAACCAGAAACAATAACAGAGGGAGAGAGAGAAGAAAGAGCGAGCGAATTTGTGCATTTGCTCAGCTTAAATGATTTTGGATTTGGAAATCGTTGACTTTGTTCTTTTATTTAGAATTCAAATACACAACAAAAGCTTACAATTTGTGAAATTTTTGCATAGCTCCATTTAAGATAATATATATATTGTATATAGTATATATATCTTTATATATTGGTATTTTTTGTTCATTTTTTTTTGTTGTTGTTGTTTTTGTTTAGTTTTGTATATAGCATTGTCTTGTATGTATATTTGTATATGTTAGGTATAAATATAAACTTATTGCTTTAATATATTTACGCATTGCATATGTCTGTGTGTGTGTGAATGTGTGTTTGTGTGTGTGTGTAAGTCTAAGCAACGAGCGCCCAAGTACAGCTCAACTCTTGAGGCATATGAAACAAATCAAGAATACACACAAAATAATATGTGTAATGTTTTTATTTTAACAACTGTATTTGTTGTTAAATGTATACAACAATTTACACTTATGTATACCTCAGCTATATACATACATACGTAATAACTAAATGTAATAATAAAAAAAAAATGAATAACATAATACACAATATAAGAAGCAACAATTAGAAGTGAAAAGAAAACGGAGAATTGCAGTTAATAAAAAAAAATACATACATAAAAGCGCCAAAAAAGCTAAAGCTTCAACTTGTTGCTGTTTCTATCAGTGTGGGTGTGTGTGTGTGTTTCCTTGTTTTCATAGATGTATGTATATGTGTGTGTTGGTCTCAGCGTGCTGTGCTTTCATCTTTGTTTCAGTGTCTTCCAATTTCTCTCACTCGTGTTTGCCCGCGGCCACGCCCTTTCCAACTCCAATTTAGGCGGCGGACTGCTCTCATTGCACGCAAAGCTCAATTTGCGTGGAGCTGCTCCGACTGGCCGCTGAGATTTTGCGTGCCAGCTTTTGCAGTGTGCCCACAGCTACGCATTGTAAATGTTAACGGTTTATATCATTTCAAATATTGCGTGTAAATAAACAAAACAAATAAAACATCAAATAAATTGAATGTACGTATATGCCATGTATCAGGAAAATAAAGGTGCTTTGTGTGTGTGCAGGAAATAAACGAAATACTAGTTGCAAACAAATAAAAGTAGTGAGAAAAATATAGAGCAGCTGCTGTACTGTTTAGGGTAGGGTATTCTATAGAACTCATAAACCAACTACGTGTCGCATTGTTTGTCACTTGCAGCCGAAAGCTTTCACACACACACGCATTGACAACACGCACGTGTCAGAGTCAGCGCTTCCCATGCCGCATTGTATGCAAGCTTTTCAAAGCTCACCAATACTAGCGCAGGCAAATGACAAACAATTTTATAAGTATGTGTGTGAGTGTTAAGCATTGCCTACTTTTTGTTATATATATATTTAATTTTTTTTATCAATTAATTAGCTAAATGCATTTCAACTATGTTTTTTGATTTTGTTTTTTTTTTTTTGTTGTAGCCATTTTCTACTGAGGTTTCTCGGAGACTATTTGCCATGGGAGTTTTTTGTCAGTTAGTTTGTTGTGTGTGTGTGTGTGTGTGTGTTCGAGTGTACAAATATACATACCATATATTAATATAGTTTATTATTGTTGCATTTGATTATCGATAAGAGAAAATTAATTGAAGAAATAAAAAAAGATAAATTCAAAAATCGAATTTAATGATGCAGAAAAATTCGACATCGTTTTAAACATTCAAAATGAATTTCGTTTCGATAAAAAGGTTATTATTATTATTTTTATTGAGGTTCATATCGGCGCCCAAGGTCATGTGCATTATGGTATTCAGATGGATGCATGACAGGAGAGGCAGGCGAGAGGATGTTCGGCCAGGCGTTTTACAAGATATTTTCGTATGTGTGTATTTTTTGATATTGCGTGTCATGTTTTTTGTTTTTTGTTTTTAGAGAGAGAGGAACAAATTTCATTGTTGTTTTTGTTGTTGTTGTTTGTATGTTGTTTAGCAAAAAACAAGCAGTTTGGAGAAAGGAAAAAGAAATGAAAAACAAAGTAATGAACATATTGAAATATCTTTTCTTCGTTTTGTTTTAAATTTTTGTTGTTGTTGCGAAAATGCATTTGTTACGTATTCTGTTTTTTTTTTGTGTGTCTTTTCGGGGTCTGCTCTATGTGAAGAAAGTCTTTAACAACAAATTTTGGGGCACATGTAAAAAGTAAACGCTTGATTTTCAACAACTTTTTTCAATTTTTATTTAAATAGTTTTTATTTATTTATTTTTTTTTTTTTTTGATTTTTTTTAAGCGTACAAATATTTTGGCTAACAAACATATTACGAATTAACTTCGTTTTGTTAATAACTTTTTTTTTATTTTGCCAATTCATAATACTTATATAAAATTTTGAACAATTTTTATAATTTGCTTGTTTTCTCAAATTTGTTTTTTTTTTTAGTAGTTGAAAAGCTTTTGTTTTTACTAATGAGATCTTCAATACGCAAACATGAGGCTTTAGACTAGGTTAGTTAAAGTATTTGGGAAGAGAAGGCGACTTTGTGTAACTCTATGGGAAATATGCTCTAGTGTAGGCTCTGGAGCTGCACTTTGATTGTGATGAGTGGAGTTTTTCTATTGGAGAACAACTTTGCGATTGTCTGAACGAGAGAGCGTCTTGAATACTGCATGGAATTGAACTGAACTGAACTGAATAGAGTTTTTTTTTTTTTAGTGGTAGCAGCTATCTTATAGATATTATTGATTTGGCTCATTCGTTTTTGAGGTTCGAATTGAGGTTTGGTATTGAAACTTTGACTAGAGTAGAGTAGCAGTTAGATTGTAGTAGGTGGTAAGTAGATTGTTTATAGTAGTAGATTTTTTTAGTTTGTTGTTGTAGCAGATAGGTTGAGAGGGGTAGGGCGGGTTGGTGTTGTTGGTGGTGGTGGTTCAGTTGTTCAGTTTTTGTGTGCTATTTAGTCTCTAACACTTACCATAGCCCTCGCCCTGCAAGAACAGCCGAAAGGCCTCAGCCAGCTTAGCCGGTTGCTCCTCCAGCACCATGGCGCAATCCGAGATCTGTGGCAAAAATTTCATTTAGTTTTCAGTTCGATTACAAATAACACTTTTGCACTGTTGAACCTTCATCCAGGATGAGTTGGTTGGATCCAAGCGGCCATTGAATGTCACCGTATCGTCCACGTGCGGCGAAAGCGAACCGGTTATATTGATAACCGGCATCTTAAGCGTGGTCGCTGCCGTCTCTGCACCAGGTGTGCCCGGAGGTGTGCGCGCCAAATGTAAGTCGTTGCGATGTATGTACGCATTGATGAGCATGGCCAGGTTAGTGGGATTGACGCCGCGCTCGAAGTGCTGCTTGTACATCTGCACCAGATCGTGATTGCGCTCCTCCGGATTGCGGCCGAAATGATGCCACATCAGATAATCGATGACGCCCTGTGTCATGCCCTTGGTGCGCAAAAAGCGCGCATTGAAGCTCTGATAGCCCCATTCGATCCAGCCCGATTGCGTTGACACACAGTTGATTAGGCACAGTGCGCCCACCTTATCCGGATTACCATGAGCGAAACGTGCCAATATATTGGCGCCGGCACCAACGCCAAAGCCAATCACCGACTTCAGCCCGAAATGCGAGAGCACAAACAGCAGCTGTGCTGCCAGCTCATCCATGGTTGGATACACATAGCTGCAAAGGCGAAGATATCGATTTAGATAAGATTATGAAACAATGACAGCAGCTTTAAGTGAAAGCTAAACAATAGGAACTTGTAGCTGCACAAGCTTTCAGCCTTAACTGAACTTGGTCGAGTAGGCTTACAATACCCTAGAGCTTCCATGAGCTTCAAAAGCTTTTCAATGCTAATTAGGTAGTTTTCTCTCCTAAAATAAATCCTTTTATAGTCTTGCATGTGCTTTCAAAGCTTTTTTGAAACTATTTTAAATTCTATTCTATTCTACAATCACAATCACAATAACTAATATAGTTGCTTCCTGTGCTGTGTTGCTAATTGCTTTCGTTTTGGACAAGAAAACACAACAGCATTTTATTTAATCTGAAGCTTTCACGTAATTGTTAAAAGTTGCCTCAATTAAAAAGGAAAATTAATTGCTCTTCACATTAATTTTCATACACTTTTTACGGTATTTCTTTGTTGACTTTTTGCATAACTTTGTAATCGGTCTCTAGAGTGTAAACGCCAACCTGGGCAATTATTTGTACAACTTACTCCTCTGGCAATGTAGGCGCGCCCTCCTCCTGTCCGGGTGCCGTAACATGATACACACAAAAGTTCTCCAGCAAACCGCGCATGACTGGATAATTGAAGAAGCCAGCGAAACTGGTGGCATCTGTTTGAAGTCAAAATGAAAATGAAAATGAAATATGCGTTGGCTCAGATGCTCGTGGCGTCAATTGTGAGAACTCACAGTTGAGTCCCAGATCGTGGTAGGTGACTATGGCCGGCTTTGAGGTGTCGCCCTGTATGGCGACATGTATGTCGCCCTTGTCTGTGGGCACACGTCGCTGTTCGCAGGCCTCCAAAATGGAGCCGCGTGCATTGGGAAATTGCAGCTGCACCGAGCGCAGTTCGATGTCATCCATGGGATCGACGGGCATGGTGCTAAATATGAACAAAATGTATAGAAATAGATGCAGTTTAGCACAGATAGTTCAGTTGCTTAACATATTAACTATGCATATGAGTTTTGTTTTTTTTTTTTTATTATTATTCATGTGAATGGGTCACTCGTAAACTTGCATCCGGCGGGCCGCTTGGTTCGGTGCTGGGCATCTTCGGGCTCTACTTTATTGGGCTCTAAGGCTACAAAAATGAGTTGAATTTGAATCACACGCAACGCGTCTAAAGGCTACGTAACTAAATTACAAATTGCAAACGAAACTCAGGTAAATACTATAAAGAATTTTATGCAATATTTGTTCAACATTCAAATTATGTACGAGTTGCGGTTTCACAGAGATTGAGATTGAGAGAGAGACGGGCGGATGCGTTTGTTATTGTTATTGTTATTATTATTTTTAATAACTATAATTATTATTTGTTGTTAGTTTTTTTTTTGTCAAACTCAAAAGTTATCGCTATGCAAAATACTTACAATTACTTTAAAGTAAAACGAAATGAAGGCAAAACACAGTCTAAAGTGAGTTATGCGTAGGTATTCAATTTTCTTAAATAAAAATAACTATATAAAAGAACAAAATTTGTGTTACTTGTTTTTGGTTGTGTAGCGTGAGGGGCGGGGCATTACGCGGCATATATAATTATTATATATATATATATATATATAAATATCTTACACATGATATGGGGAAATCGGGTTCGTTAACGATTTGGCTGTTTGTTGTGTTGCTTACCCCAGCAGATGTGCCTCCTCGGCAGTGTGTGTTGGTGCTGATGGCATCTTGGTGTTCAGTGTCTTACCAGTTTTGTCGCGGTCTCTGAAATAAATACTATGAGCATGCAAGCAAAAAAAAGGAAACAAACGAAAACACGAATCGAGATAGAGAGATAGAGAGAGAGAGAGAGAGAGATAGAGGCGATTCGCTTGCTCAAACAAAAGAAAAACTTATTTTTCATTTTTCTCAATATTTCAAAGAAAAACAAAAAACAAATTTCATATATGTACGATTATAATCAGCTAATTACACACTAAGTATGTATGTCTGGTATATATATATATATGTATATAGACGAGTTTGTTCATGTTAAGAGAGTTGTAGTTTGCCCAGAAGAGAAAGAGTTGCGAATTGTGATAAGGCAACGATTTGTTGTTATGAGAATGCCTTTTGATGAGATTCGAGTTTAAGATTGAGCATGAAAATATGAAAATATAGCTAGACGAGTGCTCGTGCTATACAAGTACAACAACAAAAATACACAGTAAACACTTTTCACGTTACGTAAAACTAAATAAATGAGTCACGCAATGCCACACGGAGTAAAATGTCGACGACAACGAACAACAGAAAAACAGCAAACAACTGGCGCCACAAATATGAGCTCTCCCAAGTCCTACCTCACCTCACCTCACCTCACCACGCAGAAACAAACTAATTCCGCTGAGCTTAATGCCTAACCACCAGACCGTGTGTCTAGCTAACTTGGCCCACAGCATTTTGGCCAGCCTGAATACTTATGCTTATACTATATACGCACACAATTCTGTGCTGAAAACTCAATTAGCTGTTGCACTTATGCGAGCCTCTAATCCTCTGGGGACCAGATTATCCCAGCTCTGTGCACACATCCTGACTGTTAAGCATCTTTAAATAAGCCATGTGCTGATTTATTTACTAAAACTGGTTTCATTAAAGCTGGAACAAAGCTTATCTAACCAAGCTTCCATAGAATATGGGCAAGAGGCTAAATCTTATCTGCATCGGACCTATAAAACATATAGCTGCTGTGGAAACTGGATAGAAAAGGCGAAAGAGAAGAGTAACAGCAAGCAGACAAAGAAGAGAGAGAGAGAGAAGACATCAAAGAGCAAAGAAAAAATGGAGCGCAGAGAGAGAAGAAAGAATGAGAGAAAGAGAACGGAGAAAATAGAGAGCACAGAATGAATAGAGCAGAGAAAAATAAGAGTAAGAGTGAGAGAGAGGGAGAGAGAGAGAAGAGTAAGAGAGAGAGAAGAGTAAGAGACAGAGAGAAGAGTAAGAGAGAGAGAGAGAGAGGTATGAGAGAAGAGTAAGAGAGAGAAGAGTAAGAGAGAGAGAGAGAGGTATGAGAGAAGAGTAAGAGAGAGAGAGAGAGAGAGAGAGAAGAGTAAGAGAGAGAGAGAGAGAGAGAGAAGAGAGAGAGAGAGAGAGAGAGAGAGAGAGAGAGAAGAGAGAGAGAAGAGAGAGAGAATAGTAAGAGAGAAGAGTAAGAGAGAGAAGAGTAAGGGAGAGAGAAGAGTATGAGAGAGAGCGAGAGAGAAGAGTAAGAGAGAGCAGAGTAAGAAGGGAGTCAACTGAGAGGGAGCATAAGACACTTTTTTCTATCACAACACAATTTAACACACACACACACGTATAAGCACTTGACTAAAATTCGGCAAAATTGCCTAGCCCCACTTGAATTTTTGAGAATCGCATAGAACGACCCTAAACGTCTTACTTCACAAATACACACAAACACCTAGGCTGCAGGCTGCTTTCCTTAGTCAACGGCTGCGATGCTATTAGATTTAACATTTTCAGTAAAACTTCGGGTTCATAACCATCAGTAGCACAAAATACCAAATCGAAGCCATTTTCGAGGTAATTGGAACTATATAGAGGTAAGTTTATGGCATTTTTAAGTTCGGTAAAACAAAAACAATCACTAAGAACAACAGAACCCAACTGCTAAAAACATGCAAAATCTGAACACCTATAGCATATATCTCCGGTAGCCAGGATCAGTTAGGCAGCTTTATTTCTGCTTAGGTATTTAGGACTTTTCATTAAGCCAGCCCCAAGCACGATTGGGCTTAATGAAAGTCGTGGCGGCGAGCAAAGCCTCTCTATAATAACAATAATAGCTCACAATCAGATTAATTGAGCGATTTAATATTCCACGAACTATGCGTGTACGGGCTGTACCTACATACATATGCACTTTCCAAGGGGTCCTATTAATAGCCTGCCCCAAATCAGCGAACACAGTTTAAAGCCATCAAAAATTCCCTTCGCTTTCCGAGTTAACACGCAATGCTCTGCAGGAGGGGGTAAGGGCTGGCTGTGCCCGGTAAAAATATATATATATATATATATATATGTATGTATATAAATAAACACATACCGTTAATCAGAAGTTTGAAACTTGCTGTTGCTTTCTACAGTTGCTTAAGTGCACTCGCGTATTATTTGCTTTTGGTGCTTCGCTTTAAGCGCACGGCGCCAGACTTGAAACGGTCAGCAACAGCAACGAACCGGTTAGGACCGGTGAGACCCACACAGAACCTGAGAAATGCTGCACAGCGAAAAGTGCAATGACTGAAGTGTAAACAGAGCTTTAACTCTTGAGCTTTAGTCGTTCACACACACACACACACACACACATACATATGCATGCGTTAATTGAGTGCAATCTGTGTGGGCGTGCGTGTGTGCGCTGTGTCACCGTTACGGAAACATTAATTAAAGCACTTGATGATGATGATGGCCGCAATAAACATAAATAAAATTGAAAAGAACGAGTACTTAAAAGAGTATCTCTTGCGGACAGAAATAGAACAAAAATCAAGCACAGTTAGCGGTTGACTAAATTACGGTACATCGTTGCCGTCCAATTGTCTGACTAGACAGCGATTTTTGGGAATTTGACTGCACTCTAAAGCTTTGGCATGTTGTATTGACAAAACTGCAGGCGGGCTCTGACCTTGAGCCAGGGCTAACTCAGCAATAAATGTGAAGAAAGTTCCGCCCGTGTTGTTGTTAAATTGATGATGTAACTGAGAGAGCGAAATGTGAGCAATATATACATACGTATACACAGTATAAGATAATAATACACATATTTATAAGAGTACATATGTACATTTGTGCACTTTGGACAAAATCAAAAGTATGCAAATGATCCTTACGCAAACACAAAAGGCTCTCACGCACATGCATCGCAATTAAAGCTGTGTGCTCGAAATAACGTTAAAGTAACGAAAAGCACATCAACAACAACAACAACAATGATTAGTAGTAGTAGTAGTAGTAGAAGAAAAGAGTATAAGTTTGTGCGCTTGTTTCACTTACCTGGCACCACCACCAACAATGACCACCGGTCGCTCCATGCGCACCAGCTCCTCGCTATCGCTTGGCGAGGATTTGATCGCCTGACCAATTGCACGTTTCATGCTTTCAAAGACGGAGGTGGGCGACGCTGCATGTGGTTCTGTGGTGGACTGATAGATGGCGCTGCCATTGCCATTGCCATTCGTTGCCGGCAGCGACACATAGCCGCCCTCTGATTGCGGCATTGTTTGTGTTTTTTTTTTCTTCTTTTTTTTTTTTGCTTACTTTCTTTCGTGTGCTCTAGTTGTGCTCTTTATATTACGTATATATGTTATGTGTGTGTGGGCCTGTCACTCTCTCGCACTTCCACAATACTTAGCCTGCTCTGTGAGGTTTTCATATGCAGATAAAACTCTCAGTGCGCTGTCTGTGCATGTAAGTGTGTTTGTATATGTGTGCGTGTAGGTGAGTGCATGCAATTTGTGCACGTGTGTGTGTGTGTGTGTGTGTGTGTGTGTGTGTGTGTGTGTGTGTGTGTGTGGGTACATTCGATATGTGTTGTTTTTTTGTTGTGGGCATACAAATCATATAAACAATGCGTTCGTTTGGTGAATTTGTCACGTGATTCATCAGCAGGCAGTCACAGGCAGCAGGCAGCCGTTGTTGCCACATAATATACACACGCATATAATACATATATATATATATTATATGATATATACAAAAGATATCCATTCGTCAGTTGCAGCAGCACGCACAATAAACATAAATCAAATAAATCAAGAAAAAAAAGAAATAAATTATAATCTAAAATAACAATCAACGATATCACGCAATACAATGTTAAGCTCATGTTCACTCTTATTAACAGTAGAAGAGCGCAGCCATTAACAGCATTTGCAATTAACATACACATGTCGTGTTAGGCTAAATGATCAAATTGAGAGCAAATTGAGTTAAAAATGCAGTTATATTCTTTGTGGTAAGAGCATAATGAATACATTATGATTGAGAAAAGCAAACACCTCAATGTGGTTAGTAAGTGTGGAGCAGAAGCAGAAGCAGCAGCAGCAGCAACAACAACTACAAGAACAATAATTGTATTTGGCGTCAAAGTTCGTACTTGTAACAAGATATGCAGGCCAAACCAAGGCTCAAACACACGCACACACACATACAGATATGTAGAGAGAGAGAGTAGGAGAGAGACACTCACACACACACAACGACGCACACATGTTGCAGTCTGGCAACCACCGCAGCACTCAGCTACTCTCCGCTCTGATTACCCCCGCTGGCTCGCTCGCTCGCTCGTTCACTCAATGTGCATTACATTAACCCAGTTCCAGTTCTATGCGGCAAATGGTGCTGCTCTGCGGTTTGCCCAAGGGTCTCTTCTCCAAAAAGCTCTGGTCACATGGAATTTTGCACAGCAATTCAGAGATCTGGCTGCTGATTAAATGCGTCACCGAAATTTCAACACTTCAAACAAGCAAAAATTAATACATTCCAAAAAAATAATAAAAATATAAATAAAGCACAACTGATAATCAAAAGCCAACACGATGACGTAAACTTGACGACATGAAACAAAATATAAAGCATACTATAAAAAAAAAAAAAAAACTCGGCTATGAAAATATTGCGTCTTAGCTATAAAAAAAAACAACAACAACAACAAAAAATGGCTGCAAATTGAGAACTTTTAGCCAGGTCAGAACCCATCAAACAAAAGGGTTGGGCAACTGTCCGAAATCCAAGTGTGAATCCGAAGGGATAACATTCACACACACACACACACACACACATATGTGTGTGCTTGTGTGATTTTACAGTTAGTTATCTATTTATTATGCAAAACTAACGACGTCGTTTCTCATTCTGGTTCACATTGCTGCGCTTAGTTGTTGCTGCATAAATTTATAATAATAGCAATAAAAAAAAACAACAAAAAACCAAAAACTTTTTCCATAAAAGTCAAAGCGAAACGCAGATTTAAGTAAAGCAAACAAAGCGCACAAAACGTTGATTGTATCTCGGGTACTTGAATAACGAGTCATTCTGCCATTCTGATAAATATGTACATACATATATGTCGAAACATTTTCTATTGCTGCACTCACAAATACCCTGTACTTTACTATAAAGAATATATACTTAATATACTAAATAGATACCAAATTGTATACCAAATTTGATGGTACCTGCTTTAGATTTGCCAATATACATACAAATCAAAACAGTTTTATTGCTGCACTACAGATACCCTGTAATTTTAACTATATTCAAAAACGATGCTTATGGAAATTGTATTACACATTTTGTGACTTTTGCTATAGATTCAACGATATGTATCTATATATCGAAACAGTTTTATTGCTGGACTAGCAGATACCCTGTAATTACGTCTTTAACTATATTTAAAAACGATGCTTATGAAAATTGTATAACACATTTTGTGGCTTTTGCTATAGATTCAACGATGTGTACCTATATATCGAAACAGTTTAGTTTCTGCGCTAGCAGATACCCTGTAATTAAGTCTTTAACTATATTAAAAAACGATGCATTTGGAAATTGTATACCAAGTTTAACAGCGCTTGCTTCAGATTTGACAATATGTACCTATATATCGAAACAGTTTAGTTGCTGTACTAACAGATACCCTGTAATAAAGAATTCTGTTCTGTTCTGTATTTCATATATCAAATTTGCTAGCTCTACCAATATCTCAGATAGCACAGTTTATAGATAAATGTATATGCCCATTCCATACAGGGTATGCAAATTATAGCATACAGTCAGAATCCCATTGTTAGTTTCTAAGTGCAAGTCAATTTAACAGCTGTAATCTCAGCTGAATTCATTAATGTTGCTTATCAATTACAAAGTGGGGCGAACAAGCTGATTGTCCGAAAGGTAATTAAAAAAAAATATAAATATATATATAATTATATATAAAGCGAGCGACAAGTAAGCGTTACTTAATTTCGTTGATTTAATCAGAATTTCCTTGAATTACTTTTTGAGTAAATTGCAGATTGTAAAACAAAAATTGAGCCTATATAGAACGCAATGCACAGCAACCTTTGACCTTTCGGCCTGAATTATGGCTGCAAATCCACTTGGAATGATTTTATGGGCAACGGAACGTAGCTATAAAGACGACGGCCCCGCATTCCGCACCCTCAGTCAGTAACATTTGCATATTAGATACTATATGGACTTTATATTGGCCTTGTTTAACTGGGCAATCGGGCCAAGCCTGCGGGTTCTACACAATGGCAATTCCGATAATTGCCACGAGCGGAGGTCGAGAGTGTGCGCCATTTATGGCAAATTATTCATAATTACAATTGCATCAGCGAACATTGTGAAAAATTACCAATTGGCAAAATGGGCGGCAGCTACAAGAGTTGAAGCTGGCCAAAGACAAGAAGGTGAAAATGTGCACTGAGCGAAAAAGATGTGCACAACTTTTGTCTCTTCAAACTCTTTAGCTTAGCTTGACAATTGCATTAACTGCCAGTTAAATGTGTACGCGTTGACCAACACTGTTGCAGTTGCAGTGTTGCTGTGTTAGTGTGCTATAACTTTTAATGTTAGCTGAAGAACTCTTGGCTGGGTTTCCCTGAACAACATTTCATTATCAGAAATATCAATCAGCTGCTTGATTTGTTTGTTGTTTTTCCAATAAGTGTGAAGAATAACTTACAGCTTGAGAAAAAAGTGTTGTATAATAATATAAGAAAATACTATTTGCTTGCGACTGTCAAGAAAAATGCTTTTCCGCTCAGTTAACCGCGATTGGTCCAACTGGATCTTGCCTTGAGCTCTTTTCGCTTAAGTTAGTTGGCAATTTCGCGCCGTGTATTTGCGCGGATATCGACAATTTGGCAGGTCGCCATGGCAACCGTTGGCAGGTCAACAGCAATCGCACTTGCAACACGCGGCAACAACAAAGCCAAATGCGTGTAGACGATTGCCAGAGAATATAACGGAGTTGCCTCCAGCCTGACCAAACGGGCCAACGGATATTGTTGGCCTGCGGCAACGGCAATTGCAGACGGCCAGCAAATATTTTTGTATAACATAAATAAATTATATCAATAAATTCAAGGATATTTTGTGTGACGTGTCCTCTGCTGAAACAAATTGCAGCGCACAAGTGCAAATTATATTCAAATAAGTGTGCATGGCGGCAACTGAGTGGGGTGGAGGGAGGGAGGGGTAGAGGGGCAGGTACAAAATCCCATAAAGGAAATGTCACGCTACATGGCAAAAGCCGCGGGGCTTACTGTAAGCGCTGCGAACGTCACACTTACACAGACACACGTATGTGTGTGTGTGTGTGAAGAGCAGGACGAGAACGTCAACAACGTAGTTCCTGGCCATGTGTGTGTGTGTGTGGGTGCAGGTTGCTTTACTGTTACGTGTTTGCAATCGATTTGAGAGTTACATAAAAACACAGCAAGGCAGCAGGAGTGTGTAGAAGAGAGCGAGAGAGAGAGAGAGAGAGAGACGGGTAGAGCGAAAAGCAATTTGGCAATTTGTGATGGACTCGTAAAGTTAGGTTAACTGACCTACGCGCCATATTAAATATGCAGGCAAGTTAAACAACAATGTCAAATAAAAGCAACGGTTATTTGTAGAAGCCGACAACGACGACGAGGGCGGCGGCGGCGGCGGCGACGCTGGCGCCGCAGTGTTAACAGCGCCCAATGGAGCCGCAGAAGCAATAAAACTCAAACAAACAACAGCAAGGAGGAAGCAAGGCGAAAACATCGAGTGAAACTTTCTGGGTCTGCGTTACGTCAGAGTCATTTGGGGCTTGTCAAAATTAACAGCATAAAGCAAATCAAAAGCATAACAGTAGAAAAAACTATAAGATGCATTGCTAGATAAATGTGGCAAAGCAACAACAACAACAACATGCACAGCAACATTAACATGCAATGTAATGTCTAACAGGCAAATGTTAACTACCGCTAAAAGCTCAAAGTTCAGCTGCGAGAGAGCTGAGTGTGTGCTAATTAAAAAAGCAAAAAAAAAAACCAACAAAAAGATGAATGCAAATGATAAAATTGATGCAAAATGATGCAGCGCTTTGTGAATAGAATGGGCGAAGAGAAACTGACGAAGGGGGGCATAGTAATAGTTGCAGTAGTAGTTTGTGTAGAAGGAGCAAAAGTGATAAAAGCAACAACAGCAGCAGAGCAAGATTAACAGGCGGCGGCAGTGGCAGGTAGCGGGGGCTCTTCACGCGCCAGGCCGTTGTATGAGAGTGCATGTGTGTGTGTGCGCTTTGTATGTCGTGTGATTTGTCTCTGCCTGGCGCAGTATTGGGCTGTTGTTGTTGTTGCATTTATTTTTTTTGATATTATCACTTTGACTGTTATTAGCATGTTGTGTCGGTGTGCGTTGATATACGTGTTTCTGTGTGTGTGTGTGTGTGCGCTGGACACCAAGACTCACCTGACGTTCGTTCTGCTTGTGTTTCCTTTTGTAGAACTTCCAGCGAACAACAACAACAACAACAGTTAGAGTAACACAAATCAAGTGGTTCGGCGGGGGGTAGACGGGATCTGGGCAGCAGTTTAATTACAAATTTGTGGAAATTTACTGATGTGCGCGTTTGTTGTTGTTGCTTTCAGTTTTCTTGGCAGTCTTTTTGCTTATTCTTTTGCCTTAACAAAACTGGCAACTCGGTGTATGCGTATGTAGTTAACTGGCACGCACAACAACAGCAACAACAATAAGAAGAACGAATACTCGCGGTGCCCTTTTCTATGAAAAAATCAATATTTGTTTGGTTTCGCGTTTACACTTGTGTAATTTGATGCTGTTTCGCGCACGCCCACACACAGACACTGTCGCTATGCTGCATTGGATTTATTAAGCTGTTTGTTGAACACTAATTCGTTGTTGTTTGTCACAATAAGAGTAAATTTAAATTAAAATTTTTGTTTGACTAAACTGCGAACAACTCAACTCGATTATGGTGCACGCGCCAGTGTGACCAGATTGCGATTGCAGAAAAATGTGCCGATTCTTTTCATTCGGCAAATGCTATCGAATTGTGGTGGCTGCTCGATAACAGCAGGGCTGGCAACAACTCATGCGATGAAGTATCGAAATGGCTGCGACCAATAATATATGTAATTTATATTAATTTTGTTATATGTTGCTGCTAATTGTAATTGTAATTTGAATGTACTTAAAATGTAATTTACATATAGTTACCAGTTGTAGAAAAAAAAAGCACCAGTCTGCCATAGCACAGAATTTGGCCAATCAAATCTCGATCAAAGTACCCATCTCTAAAAGTGCTAAGCAAAACATGCTTGTCCTGTTTTAACAAACTGCCAGTTAGTTTTTGGATTTGTGTGTGAAAACGTTGCCTTAACTAGCTAGAAATAAGGCTGGAGTTACGAAAATAACTGGCGTATCAGCAGTCAAGCGGATAAATTTTAAGAAAAATTAGCACATATCCGGCGTTATTCAAAGCGAAAAGACAGGTTTGCTGCCGTTGCGCAAATGCCCGCAACAAGTACACAAAAAACCAACAAAAAAAAACATAAATTAAAAACTTTACAAACTTGTAGATTGAGATAACCAGCTCCAACAGCATGCCCCGTAGATATACAACAAAGTTACAGCTGTCGAAGCTAAACCAAACAATCGAATCACAAAAGTCCCAACAACGCAGCGAGGCGGCAACTTCAGCCAGCGATTCGTCGTCGTCGGAGGAGGAGGAGGAGGCGGAGGGGTATGGTTCGCTGGAGGATCAACGCCAGGGCGTACCACTGCGCCATGTGCTGGAGAATACATCACATTTCACACATCCCGAACTGAACACGGGCCTGGGCCAGAACGCTGTGCCCGAACGGACGCTCAGCGTTTTTCCCAGCTGCGCGTTCACTGTGGCGCTGCCCGTGTATGTTTCCGGCCAGTCGACGCCCATTGTGGAGCCGTGCTTTCAGCGCTCGATCGCGCACGTCGAGTGGATGCGCAATGTGCACGTCTACAAGGCCAAATATCTGAGCCAGACGAGCAAGCAAAAGCAGCGCGAAAAGAAGCACGCCAATCACATATACAACATTCATTTGTACGACATGGCGGAGCAGATAGCCATGCAGGACAATACGTACTTTCGCGACAGCTATGATTATTATTATACGGGCGGCAATCTGAATCTGTTGTCGTACTCGGCTGCTGGCGTTGTGCCCAAGACGCTGGCCATGCACGTGTCCGGCGAACGGCTGCAGCACTTGAATCTATCCCAGGTGGGCGTCGAGGCGGAGCTGTGGCGTCCGCTGCATGGCGAAACGCTGGCGGGCATGTCCAGTGAGATCTTTGAGCTGATGCCCATCAGCAGCTTTCGCGTTAATCATGGCAATATGCTGTTGGCGCGTATGCTCAACGACATTGTCATCTACGAGCTAAAGCAGCTGGACAAGGAGGATGAGGAGGATGAGGCGGAGGAGGAGGAGCCCAAGTATGAGCTGTGCTGTCAGAGTAAATACAGCAGCCAGGACGGACCGTTCATAAGCGTGGCGCAGGCCATAAACAAGCCAAATACGCTGGCCATTGCTTGCCAGGATCACAGCGTGCGCTTCAAGGATATTGTCACGCAGCAGGACATCTCGAAGCACGAGGTGTGCATACTGAAGGGCATAGGCAAAACGAGCACCTGGGCACAGATGCGCGCCAGCCAGGAGCACTGCTTCCACTATGCCTGCCAGTCCGCTCTGCTGACCATCGACCTGCGCTGCGCCAATGAGGCGATTAGTCCGTGCTTCGCCAGCAGCGTGTACTCGCCGCACTGTGAGAGCTTCTCCTGTTTGGGTCGCAGCTTGAATCCAAATCTGCTGTACGTGGCCAGCAATCATAAGCTGCACTGCCTGGACATGCGTTGTCTGGGCAGAAAGGTGTCGGATCGCTCTGTGGTCACGTGGACGCATCAGATGAACTACTCGCCCACCTTCATGGATGCCATTGCGCACAATGGCAGCGAATTTGTCGCAATGAGCAGCGCCTTGACCAGCGATCAGCGTGTTTGCGAATTGAAAGGTGTCCTGGCCCAGAGCTGTACCGAGATGAGCTCCCCCTCGCTGCCCTATGAGCCGCCGCAGCTGGAGGAGGCGCTGCTGAATGCACGACTGCAGGGCTCACACGTGGACATCTATGCGGATCTCGCGGAACGCATCAAATGCTGCACCACGGGCATCAAATTTCACAGACTGGAGTACGCCATCGATGGCGCCTTTGCCCAGCTGCTCACCGCCAACAGCGTGGGCGACATTTACTGCCAGCGTGTGACGCTGCGCGATGAGCTCGAAATGCAGCGGGAACAGCGAACGGGCGGGCACACCAACGAGGCAATACTCTACTATTCCCAGCTGGTGCGTCATCATGTGACCAAAAAACTCGGCTGTACGACTGTGCAGCCGATGAGCGTGCTGCGCGAGATTATGAAATCCGATGCAGAACGTGATGTGGAGCAGGAGAAACCGCTTGTCATCGAGGATGTGAATATAGACTACGGTTTTCCAGATTCTGACACGGAATCGCTGACGGAAAGTGAAGCGGAGGGCGAGCAGCAACAGGCCACGACTAGCCAAGTGGTTGCCCAGGAGGAGACGCCGCCTGAAGATACCAAGCCAGCCCAGGAGCTGAAGGCCAAGAAGAAGGCCGTCAATCGCGGACCCTGGCAAAAGTCGGCCTACAATCTGAGCCGCTTCACAGATGTGATCAGCACGCGCCTGCTCAGCATCTGGGACATTGATGAGTTCGAACTGACCCGGGATGTGCACATCGATATGATCGACGAGAAGCTGAAGGTGGACAAGAACGAGGATGCGACCGAAGAGCGCACAGCAGCCTGGTTGCAGCAAATGCTGCAGCCCGCCCAGCTGACAGCCGATCGAACGGATGACGACGAGAAACTGGTGCCGGGCACCAAGCTACCCAAACGCTTCGAGGCATCCTATGCCGACTACAAGGAACTGATAACGGAAACAATTGAGCTCGACATCCTGACGAGCACCAAAATCGAAAAGGACATATTCAACGAAAGCCTTGCTGCGCCCTCCACATTGGCGCCGGGCGAATTCACGATCATCGAAAGCACGCCAAATGTGAATCCGACGCCGCCTGCCAAACGCCGCAAGACCAAACACGTCATGGGCTTCTAAAAGCAGGCCTAGCCTAGAACACACCACAATCCACACAAAATAAACAATATGACCAGCACCTAATCCCAAATAGTACAATGTACATATATTTTACAGATCCGTACAGAGAGTTCGTAAACATGAATTCGAGTTCACGACGTCAGCGTTCCCGCATGCCCAACTTTACCATCGGGGAGGAGAATGTGCTGAGAATGCTGACCGCCAAATACCATAAAGAGATCGAGGACAAGGCGTCCAATGCACATGTCTGGCGTGCGAAAAATCGGGCCTGGGAGAGCATTGCCGCTGAGTTTTACAAGTGAGCTTCGTTTAACTTGCTGATCAATGCGTTTCTATGCGAACCTCAAATCGCAGCAATACGCAAATCCAACGTTCGGCCGTAAAACTGAAATCCAAATACGAGACAATGAAAAAACAAAACAAGCTGCTGAATGTGTTGGTAAAAAGAGAGCCAACACAGGAAGATGCCTCGCCCAACAAAACGAACGAGCAGAGGAATACGCTGGAAGAGTCCAAGCGGCATGTGGATCAAGCTGAACAGGTTGTGATCGTGGAACAATTTAAAGCGGAAACCCAAACGGATCAGGTTATGGCCGAGGCGGAACCAGGCCCGATTGCAGCTGAAACGCGCGCCAGCGAAGGGGATCAGATCATGTCGAATGCGGAGCAGGCTATGGTCGATGCGGATCAGATCATGATCGAAGCGGTGCCGGAAAATAAGCCCATGGATGGCATCGAAACGGTTTTGACTGAGCTCAGGCCAGACTACTCCAAGATTTCAGTGCGAAGCCGCAGATCAGATGCCAATATATCCGCCAATATTGATGTCGAACGAGTGCGCGAATTTCTGCGGCAATACAAGAACCTAAACCAGGTGTGTTGCTTATCGTAGCGCATCCAGCTGTCGGCTTGGGCATAATATCTATTCCACAGGCACAACTAGCTGCGGCCAAAAGCAATGCGCCGAGTCCGGACATCGAAAAAGCAGCCCTGCATTCCAGTGAGCAGGACAACAACGAGCTGGTAAAGGAACTCAGCTTGACCCAGAGATCTTTGGCCGCACAATTCAATTATTATCGCAACATGGATATCCGAGCACAGCAGAAGCATCTGGCCGAGCTCAAGAATCTTGAGATACAGCATCAGATTTTGGAGATCGAACTTCAGATCAAGCAAAAAGAGTTGCAGAAAAATAGCTAAAGCTAATACTAATTATCTAAGGCAACTTTTGTGTGTTTACACGTGTGGGGATATCATGTATTTGTCTTGATGCATTTATTTTAATTATTATAAGTAAGCCCTCTTTTTTTTTTTAAATCAATTTCATATAAGAACTGTAAACTTAGTTTATCTACGCATATTTACACGTGCATGGATATCATGTATTTGTCCGGGATATCATGTATTTAATCTTAATGCACTTCTTTTTAAAAAGTCAGTAATGAAGCGGTTATTTTTTTTTAATAAATATGATATAAATAAGTTTACATGAAAATGTAACTCATGAATGTAGGTTTACACGCTCAGGAATATCATGTATTTAGTCTTAATGCATTTTTTTATAAATATGAACTGTAAAAAGGCCTTTTTTTAAATAATAAATAAAATGAAATATACTATAAACTGAGTTCTTTTGTTTATCTAGCATGCTTACACGATATGGAGACATGTGTAAGTGCGTTTACACGTGCATGGAAATCATGTATTTAGTCTATTAATGAATTTGTTTTAAATACGATGAGTTTATAAGGCTTTTGCAGATACGAAATTGAGTCAAGCTAGTTTCTAATGCTCATTTTGCTAGTTTACACGATGATGTAACTCTAGTATGTATGTTTACACGTGCACTGATATCATGTATTTCGTTGATCACAAATTTCTTAATTTGATTTTAAATTTATATAGAAATAAGGTCTTTTTGCCGAGTTCTCTGCAAGCAGCACCGCATGCAAGTTTACACGATGAAGTTCAAGACTTTGTTAAAAACTTTTGTTTCTTCCAAAAGGTGCAATTGTTATTTTTGTTATTATTATAGGTTTCCACTTGTATATGATATACTCTATACTCGCCATTTTGATTGGACATTGCGTTGATTGGTCGCTCGGCTCTCCGATTTGGCATCCCCACCCGAGTCGGGCTCATAGGCCGGATTAATGATACCCTCGATGCGTTCGACCACAAATCTGTGATCTCGACGTTTCAGGGCGTAAGCCTCCGGAGGATTCTGTAGCTCCTGCAGCATTTTTCGATTCGATTCGATTCGAGAAAAAACAACCGACGCGCTGCGATTTAATTTACAACTGGCAGCTAATTAAATTGATTTCGCGAAATTCTAATTGATTTGCGATGAACAATCGCATTCATTGGGGCGTAAAATGACCCCTAGAGTAATGGGTTTTATTTTTGTCGGAATTCGTGGGGCGCACCCACGTTCGCATAGAGATAATATATACTGCGGACTTATCCACCTATATATATATGTTAAGATAATAGAGATTAGAGTTAATAATATTACTTTGAATTTAATTATTGACACATGTTTTATGTTTAACTGAAAAACATGAAAATTAATTGATTTTAGCTCCGCCCACTTGGCTCTAGCGCATGCGTCTTCGGGGGCGTGGTTTTCGTGAAATGCTTAGCAACATGCATGTCGGCTGCCCAGCAACATGTTGCCAGCAACATGCTTGCAGCATCCTTGTCGCAAACGAGCTGCCCAGCTAACAGTTAACATTGTAGCTAAGCGCGAGCAGGTTGTGCGTCTGATCTCTATCCTAATTTCGTTTTTGTTTCTGGTTTTTTGGAAACTAAAAATACTTTTATACAAATATTTCATATTCGTTTGTAAGAAGAAACATCAATGTAAGTTTAACGATTTTTATTTAAAAAGCAAATCAATTAATGTGTTATATTATTTTAAATGCAGAGTTTTGCTCTCTCGCGCTCTCTCTCTCTCTCCCTCTCTCAAATAAACACTTCCGAGTGTGTTAAAAGTCAAACTTTTTCAGAATATTTTCTTAATATCCTTTTATTTTCCAACATTCTGTCGCTTTATGCCATTCACAACACTATTCAAGTAATATAACAGTTTGCTGTCACAGTTGTTAAAAATTCGGCCCCACAATTAAGAGCGCCCAAATTATATCGCTTACCGCGAACCGCTCGAGTGCTGCGCGAGTTGCTTTGATTACGTGGACAAGTGTTTGGCTGCGGCGCGCTCTCGCTATCTGTTGCTCCGTCTCGCTCTCGATCAGTCGGTTTTTGGTGCAGCTGTATTGGTGTTGACGTCGACTGCGGCAGACCATACGCTGCGACACGCTCGCAAAGCTCTACGCTGCATATAGTAAACTGCGACGCCGTCGTCAAAATTCCAACAGTTGCCTTGCGCACATCGATCGTAGCAGTTGTGCCCGTTGCTTAGCGCCGTTTGCTCTTTGCTCGCCGTGTTTATATCCGGGACTAATTGAGTGGAATACACAAGTAAATAAGCAAAACAAAAGGTATAAACAAACTTAACTATTTAATAGACAATGTGTGACTGTGTGTGTTTGTGTGTGTGTGCGTGTGTGCATAAAAAATGCAGTTAATTGGAAGTAAAACGCAAATGATACAAAATGAAAGCGTGTACTTTGGCTAGCTGGCGTGTCTTTTTCATTCATATTCACATCGTGTTGTACACATCAGCGAATGTCGCGGCACAGCGGAAACCAAAGAGAGCGATCGCACATAGGGCAGGGGGCGGGCGCGGTGTGAGCCACGAAGACGTTCCAGCCGAAGAAAACTTAACGAAACTGAGCATAAAACTTAACTCAACAGCGCTTATCTCCCGGCCGGCCTAAAAACGGTTGTCGCTGCGACTGTTGTTGTTGTTTTTGTTGTTGTTGTTGTTGTAGCGTTGTTGTCGTGTGCAGCTAATCACAATTTGTTTGTTGTTTTACTTAGTTGCTGTTTTTTGCTTTTTACTGTCTTATGGAAAAACTCATGACGTGTGCCCCTTGCTGTTGTCAGCAAAGTTTTCATCTCATTAACGTTCAGTTGCAAATTATTTAGTCGAGTCATTGCATTTGCCCAGGTGGGCTAACTAACGGTTCGGGCGACAGTTCAACGAACCAGGCTTTAAAATGAGCTCTCAAATCAAACAAACCAAAAAAAAAAAAAAAAAAAAAACAAAGTAAAAGACAAGAGCAAAGCAACAAAGACAAGGTGGCAACACGCAACTGGTTTTGCTGTAAACGCCCAAAAAAAAAAACAAAAAGAAGAAGAAGCAACAACAACGAAACACGAAAGCAGAGGCTAATTCCCCAAGCCGAACATTCAATACGCTCTAGACTTGCATTCAATATATAAGTTTTGTTTGTGTTGGATGTTTATTCTTTCGAAATCTTGGATTTCTCGCTATGATAAATATTTGTAGTCTAAAAGAAATGCTTCCGATATTAAAAAACTTCCCCTGAAATATGAAAATTTCATTTCTTTATTTCTATCTTCTGACCCAGTCTTATAGCTATTTTGAAGTATTTGTCGCTTCGCTTCCTTATCAGGTTTCAAGCAATCGCCACAAATGAGAAGATAAAATATACCATCTTGTAGTATGAGAGAAGAACAACTACACAACTTTTGTGTAAATATTTTTACCAAAGATTTTGGCTTTGCATATATAGAAGTTCTTTCCTCAAAAAAAAAACTTGCTATAATAGAAGAGCCTATCAGAAAGTTGAAATGAATGAAGAATTTAACTAAAAGATCAACTGAGTATGTCGACATATTAAAGATTGAAGTACACACTGCACTGCATATTCGTATAACACTGCTCGTAGGGCATCTAAAGAGAAGTTTAAAAGCAAAGAGCAAACGCAGAAGCGATCTAGAAGAGAGTCAAGATGTTAATTGTGCCGTTACCATCTCGGCCCAATGTGCGGTCTTTGATTAGTGAAAGTTTTGTATCTCGAGTTGTTGTTGCTGTTATTGTTGTTGTTGTCATTCATAGAGCTTATTTATTGCAAATCATTTTCTTGAAAACGCTTTCTTCCAAAGCGCATAAATCTTTCGAATGGCCCATTGAAAATGCCCAACTTGTCCAATTCCCAACTTTCATTTGCAATTTCGAAACACCTACACAACAAAAAAAAAACAAACAAAAAAAACAAGTAAAAAAACAACAAAAAACAAACAAAAACGAACTATTTAAAATGACGAGTTTTCGAAATCGAAATGGTGCTTCCCATCCCAAGCCCCATTATGGTCATCGTCACCTTTTGCGATTTGCGGACATTACGCATACGCACCGTTAATACACACACAACACAACACACTCAACACGCTCACACACACACACACACGTTCACAGCAATAATTTGCAATTTTGGCATTGCGTAATCCTCTGCAATTGGATAAAACCTGAAGCGAGCTTCAGATTTGCATAATATACAATTTGTTCACTCTTTACTCATCTGTTTTTTTTTTTTTTAATTATTTCAACTTTACACTGTGTGCACCTCTTTTTTAATTGGCGCACAGTTTTCAGCTCTTGATTGAATTGTGTAATCTTTAATAATTTGTGTAACCAACTTTGCTCGAAGCTTGAACTAGTTCATATAGAAGTTCAGCCAATTGTAAAGCATGTAAAGAAGTGCAACTCAATTGGGTCAACTCAATTTTCAAAACGTCAAAAAAGCTAAGAGCTTAATAATATAGATTTACTTAAGCTTTTTTTTGATATTTAGTCAAAAGGTTCGCTCTCAGCATTAATGAGCTTTAAGCATACTTTTATTCCGATTAAATATTAATGAGTATTTACTTAAAATTGCTGAGAAAAATGCCCTTAAAGCTTTAATGAGCTGTCAAAGCTCCCCTAGAAATTCTTTTAATTTCTGAAAAAAGCTTTCTTTGTTGTATTTTAAATATTTGATTAAATGTGCTTGAAGCTTTAATGTGCTTTCCATGCTCCGTTTTGCTCTATTAATTGTATTTCCTTTCTCACTTGCAGCCATGTTGAAGTCAATTGTTTTCTCCTGCCTCCTGGTGGCCTTCAGCGGCGTACACTGCAGCGAACTGAAAGTGGATGTGATCAGCAAACCAGAGATTTGTGATCAGAAAACAAAGAGTGGCGATTCCCTCACCATGCACTACACTGGCACCCTGCAGGCCGATGGCAAGAAGTTTGATTCAAGGTGAGTTTCACAACACTTTTGAATGCCACGAGTTCAGGCAAGTTAAAGCCCACAGCTGTTAAACAACACTGTTAAAACTGTAAACTCATATTTGCATGCACGTACACACAAGCACATAAATATGTAGCACACACACACAAACACACACACGCACGGCGGGGATTAAGCATGTGCCGCATAGGCCTCGATGGCGGCTCATTGTCGTAAATTAGACGCCAACTGATAAGCGATCTCAATTGTTGGCCAGCATTTTGAATGCGCTTCTTTTTTGACCTCTGTTGCATGTGGCTTTGTTTGTTGCTGCTGCTGCAGCGTCACGTCCACCTCAAT